GTTGTTTCATACTTGCTGTTTTTATAAAACTTGCTGAAATTTATTTTCGGGATTCACAACATTGTTGAATTCTTCTCACTGTCTCAACTGCGATTTTTATAGATGTGCAGAAGAAGAAATCAAAAAAGGAAATACGAAAAGCTAAGAATCTAACTTGGCGAAGTACAATTCTCATTGAAAGAGGGCAAGTTTTTGTCTGCTGTGCTTGCCCTTGCTCACTTGCTGCTTGCAGTTTTTGCTTATGTGACTCAGATTTTTGGGTTTCCCGGCACTTTTTTACTCTCTGCTATATTACTGCACATAGTTCATGATTATGTGTAATTATATGAGATAATAAGGCCAAATAAGGGCTTTGCGCACGTCGTATGTTTGTAAGGTAGGGTTATACGATCTGCTTTTTGTAAGATCTGTTCTACAAATAAAGTTACCAGATATCTGAGCTAGAGCAATCTTGGAGTTTGCATCTGTCAGGGTACCCGCAGATAAGCTTCTTGCTAGCCTCCGTAGTAGATCATGGATCTGTCAAATCGTGATGAGAGCTGGCTTTTTTTAGCTGTAGAATTTTAATTTCCAGGAAAATGGCGAAATTAACTCGAATTCGCGATCGTTTGATGAAGCAGCGGAACAGGCTGGGTAAGGAGGCACGTGTGCAGAAGGCTTGTGTTCGTCCGGAGTTCAGGGAACCGTGCAGTGAAGGGCAGGTACTATTAATATTGAGCGGGAAGGTTTGACATTTCGAGCTCATTTTTCAAAACTATTAGTAGTAGGAGAGCAGTGCCCATCAGTGTATGAATTAATTTAACATTTAAGCACATTTTAGCAGTGGAAGTGTGTCCGTGATGATTCCGGAAAATGGCGAATTTACAAATGCCATGTTTATCTGAACGCGATCAAAGAATGTGACTGCTCGGCGAGCTCAAGGCGACGGTACCGTCGCTCGAGAAGACGTAATAATTTGATGAATCAATATGATTTACATTGCATGAATGCGAAATATGTTCAGAAACGCTTCCCTTCAGAAAATATCCATTAGCACAGTTGCCAAAATTGGGAAAGAAAATTTAAATGTATATCAAATTTTAGTTTCGAATGACTTTGTTGCATAAAAAGGCGTTCATCGAGAAACACTACTGTATCAGATGATTTTTTATGCGTTTTGTGCTGTGTAACAGCAGTACAAAACGCATATTGTCAAGGGGTTGTCTGTGTTTTTGTTTGTTTATGTATGTGTGTGTGTCCGCAACTTTCAACTCGGGAACCACATAAGCTAGGGAGCTGAAAGAAAGAGTTCCCCACCCACATGTGACCCCGCAAATTTAAATTCAGCTTCCCCGTACTCGCGGGTAACACGTACGGCCCCGTAAAAGTTTTATACGGGTAAGTTAATATCTCGAGAAGCACGGGGTCTGGGAGGCTGAAATTTTAAGGTAATGACCCTCTGCCCACACTTATCCTTGCCCATTCAAATTCAGCGTTCTCGCGCTCTCGGGTACCACCTACGGGCTAGTGGAAATTTTGGCGGGTAAACTATTAACTCGGGAATCACGAAAAGATGTTCATCCTTCAAGGTTTCGAATTCAGCTTTCATGCGCTGGTGCGTGAAATTTTTAACTGTTTTATCTGCACTATTTTTGCATAGCTATAGTGCTAGGCAGTGAAAATCATTAATAGGCAATCGTTCGATGGGCTGAATTGCTCAAAACGCATGATCGCACCG